GTCCCCAGCGCTTTGTCCCTGCTCATCTTGCACCCAGCAGAAAGCAGCCGCAGGAAGAGGCTCCTGGGAAAGTCCCTTGGCTCACCACCCCCTCCGGGTAGCAGTTCCCAAAGGATGGCTGACCCCAACTGCCCTAACAGCCTCTGCCATGTCTGCAATCTGCAGGACCGCCATACCTGCGGCACACACATTGCATAAAGAAAGACTTCTATGAGATGGTACTTACAACTTGACTTCACCCTTGGTTATACTATTAATTAAATCATAGGTTGGATCATATTCAGACCCAAACTCACTGTCACCTCGCTGACTGATCGTGAGCCGCCCTCTAGGGCAGGGGAGCCCACTCTGTGGGTTTCCAAGGTGGCGTCTCCTCTTGTTGCAAGTGCCTTGAAGCTGAGTCTGACCTAAGAGTGTCCTCGTGCACGCACAACAGAATGCGGCACTGCGGGCCGTGGGCCATCCTCACCATGGTCCCTCATTCGAGCCCCCTGTTGCAGCCACTGTGCCCATTCACCGCCTCCTCCTCTCTCTGCTGACCCTCTCTGTGACGAAGCATGATGTCCATCTCCAGGGACTGGTCTCTCCTCATGACATGTCCAGAGCCTATGAAATCAAGTCTCGCCATCCTCACTCCTACAGCACTCTGAATTCTTTCCCCTACAGACTTGTTGGTTCTTCTGGCTCGTCATGGTTTTGAGAGAGAGGAGCTGGAGTGCCCTGAGTCAGAGTGACAGATCGAGGCCTGGTATGGGAAGCACTGGGAGCCACTGCGCATCTGGAAGGAGGACCTCAACAGCCTGGGACAATCTCGTCTTCAGCCTGCAGGCATCAGAGCCCTGGGCGGATTCTAAACTCCAAGGTCATCAGATCCAAGCCTCTCTGTGCTGACCTTTGCACGCGTACTTCCTTGTCCGTGTCCAGGCAACACCCAGCTGAGGGGACAGCAAGACCGGGTTTGTGACTGGATATGAAAAATGGGAGCAGTCCTAGGATTACCCGGAGATGCAGGCAGGTTTCGTGTACCCCGCACCTGATAAAAACCCCTAAACACCGTTCATTCAGGGCAACTCACTCTAGTCCCTACCTGCTGCGTCAGGTGATTTTCGTTCCTTTCCAAATGAATGCTGCTTTCCACATATATCAACTCGGATAGGTTTTATATTAACAGGTTATGAATTCTTATACTATTTGTGGTCGTTACATAATCTGTTGTCAATTTGGGACTTAAGAGTGAAGGGGTGGAGTTTAGCCTGTCAATCAGGTTGCAGCTTGATGACCTCATTTGGAGGGGCTAAGGAGAGAAATAGCTCGCTAGAGGGAGGACACTGGCTCAGGAGAAGCCACATGAAGCTAGCTACCCTGATGCAGCCAGAACCCTGGGAGCTGGAAAGCTAAGTGGAGACCCTGCCAGCACTGAGATACTTACAACTCCACTGGATCCACAATACTTCCCATCCACTGGCCTGTGACCTTCCTGCATTCAGTGTCATTGCATGTGTTATGTGAGTCTGAAAAGGTCTTTATAGATTGGTATTGGTATCGGATATATGAGCTAATATCAGACTATGGACTTCATCTGCACTGGGCTGGGATGTTTTCTCAATAGTCAACTGCTTTCTTCTTTTTTTTTTTTAAGTCATTTTATTGGGGGCTCATACAATGAACTGCTTTCTTAATGTACAAGTACCCTTTCTATAACACTCCCTCGTATGCATATGTGTGACCATGAATTTGTTTCTCTAGTCTTCCCGGACTAACACAGGAGCCCTCCTCCAAACTTGATGCTGTGCTCCTTCCTCTCCACAGAATCCAGTTTGTAGGGTTATTTGTTCAGCACACAAATCAAATAAACACGGTGCAAGGATCCAACCCAAACACACATCTCTCCTGATTTCAAATCACTCAGTATCCCCATGTGCCGTCCTACAGACTGCCCCTTGGTCTCTGCAGAGATGCCCCATGAGCACACTTCGGTGTTCTGGAATTCCCACTCTTCCCAATGGTATCCAGATTTTTCTAGGATCCACACAGTCAAACGCCTTGGCAGAGTCCGTGAAACACAGGTCAACATCATTCTGGTTTTATTCTCTGCTGTATACATTCAAATTAATAGACAACTATTAAATTAAAAGACAAACAAAAGTTCATTCATGTACCACCTTTAGTCATCATGGGGCCTACCTAATTTGCAGACAGACACAGCTTTGGGAAACACTGGCTCAAGCCACTGTCATGCTTAAGGGGATTTCATGTCTGCGTAAGGGGATTCGACGTCTCATAAGAAGTGCTTGGACCTTCTCTGGCTGCATACTCGTGCAGAAGGCCTGTGCTCGGCCCTCTAGGAAACACAGGGCAGCGGGGCAGCGGTCAGCACTGCAGCGGCAGCAGGCTGTGCGTTTGTTCTTGCCGGCTATATCGGCACAGGGACCCGGGCCACTCCCAGGAGAAAGCTAGAGGTTCATCACCCCCCCTACCCAATGGACGGTGAGCCCTGGAGAGGTTGTGGGAAAAGGCAGACACTAACTCCGATCAGAGTGGCGATGCTCCCCGCAAGGCCTCGTCTCCCCACGGCGGTCCTGGCCAGGGCCTCTTTAGTAGCCTCAAAGATGGATGTGACACTGCTGGCTCAGCGGGGTGGCTGAACCCAACGCAGACACCGAGCATGGGGCAAAAGCCCTTCAGTCAAGTCCCTGCTCTGCTACCAGCTGGATACATGGCTCCAGTCAAGTCCCTCCCTTCTCAGTCTTCCTTTCCTTAGCCGTAAAGATGATCTCCAAGCCCGTTCAAATCCTAAACTTCTCCAGCTTTCAGCAAACGACTGCTGCCAGAGGCCCTAGGACCCCCGGTCTCTTCCTCAGTGTCCTCCAGTGCCCCGCTCCCTCACCTGTCACCCTGGGCGGGCGATCCTGCGCTGATGCCCGCAGATGACTCAGGCCTGTCCTCCAGGAGCGCCAACAGAGTGGACAGCAAGGCCTCCCAGAGGCTCTGGAGGACAGTGGGATAAGCAAGACCCGCTTCTCGCCCTCAAGTCGTCTGCAGTTCCCTGGGAGCCACGGGGAGAAACGCCGAATGAAAACGCAGGGCCGAATGGAGAAGTGATCTGCCAGCGATATGAGCAAGAGGGGGCGAGGTCGTTGCATCACTCACTGCAGCTTTCCATGCACTCCCCCCAAAACCACGCTCGCTGCCACCGAGGCCACGCCGACTCATGGCGACCCTGTAGGACTGGGCAGAACTGCCCCTGTGGGTTTTTGAGACCGTGACTCTGTGGAGGGCCCATCTTTCTCCCAATGCACTCCCATGAGCACGATGGCCACACCCTGCTTCCATGGCGAGCACTAGGCGCAAAGTCCTTCCTTAGTGATCAACTCAATTTTTACTAACCGTGTGCCAGCCAGGTGTCGCTGGACATGTAGCTGAAGCGCCTTGGGCTGTGCCAAAACCGGTCTGGCCTCACCATCTCCCAGTACATTTGAGAACACACGAGGGGGCCGGAAAAGCTTCACAGACAAATGCAATCAAGAGAGCGGAATTTTCCCACGAACGTTTGGATGCGCCCTCCTCTACGGTGCATCACCAGAATGTGTGGCCTGAAGGACATCCTGGGCCTCCCCGAAACCCGGGCAGCGGACCACTGCCCTCCCACCAAGGTGATTTACAATAAAGGCTGAACCAGTCCACTATAAGAAAAGAGAAGATTCTCAATAATGGTATTTGTTATATCATTATTATTAATTCACGCTATGCACTTGTCTATATTTTTACTTACTATTTTATCTATGCTCCTTTGGTTTTCCTAACAGAATTCCTAGAGTGTCCACAGTCCTGGCTATTGATCAGCGTGCTGTTGAATGAATCAGTCGATCAACTGGGAATTGGAATGAGAGAGAGAAAAAAGGCACCTACAATCCCCAGGTTTGCGGTTCGGTTCACGTCAATGGGGTATAGCTGTTCCTCTCTTTCACCGAGAAGGACAAGGTTTGAGGGGAGGAGGAAGCATTTTGTTGGGAATAGCAGAATTTGAGGGGCCTGAGGGCCACCCACAAGAGGGTTGGAGCTAAAAGTGAAACAGAGACCACGAGAGAGTCCTGGGGCTGTAAAGGGTTACCAATTGAACTGCTCACCACAAGCTCAGAAGTTCAAACCCACCACTCACCCCATGGGAGAAAGATGAGGCTCTCTGCTCCCAAAAAGATATTCTAGTCTTGGAAAGTCACAAGGTCAGTTCTGCTCTGTCCCTTAGGTCACTCTGAGTCAGAATCAATTGATGTCAGCAAGTTTCAGGACCACAACAATGAATGGGGACCCAGGGAAACACTGGCTATCAAAATTACTGGGATGGGGAGGAGGAGGAGTCTTTATATGACACGGATGCCTAGGTTCCACCTCCCACCTCCCCAAGATGCAGCCTGTGTCCGAGGTGGGGCCCAAGCAGGGTTTGTTCAAGAAATCCTTTGCCGTTGCGATGTAGGTTTAAGGAAGGACACCACCAGGGTGGAGTGAGGCAGGGCTAAGTACAGAATGAACATGCTGTGGGCGGGACCATCATTTCAAAGGTGGAAGAAGAAACTGAACCACGAAAGAATCAGAGAAGAAATGGTTCCAGAGGGCTGAGGGCAGCCAGAGAGGCTGGGGAGAAGAGTTAGGGTTGGAAAGTCATGTCATTGTTTGGGCAGCTCCTCAGTAAGCGAAGCACAGACTTGCCAAGCCCACATCAAGCACATCATAGTCAAGTCCTTCCTCTAGAACAAGGGAAAACGGTCCCACAGGGCGTCCATCCTAAGCCACAAATCTTGATGGAAGCAGCATGCCACGTGATCCTCCGGCAGGAGCAGCTGGTGCATTGGATCCACCAACCTTTCAGTTAGCCCTTCCTCACGGTGCCATCGGTGCGCGTTAGAATGGCCATGTGGCCCAGCAACTCCATGCCCGGGCACAGATCCCCAAACAACTGCAAACAGGTGTTCGAGTAAAAACTTGAACGCCACTGTTCATACCTGTGCTGCTCACAAGGACCGAGAGGTGGAGACCACGCGAACATCCATCAGCTGATGAACTGGTCAACACGTGGTAGCGTGTCTGCACCACGGAGCAGTGTCAGCTATGAAAAGAAACAAAGGACTGATACACATGACCCCGGGGGCAAATCTTGGAAACATCAGGTTACATACATGGAGCCAGACACCACGGGGCACATGTCTATGCAATCCCCCCAATAAGCCAATCTGTGGACAGGCCACAGATTTGTTCCAGTCGACAGAGCTGAAGAGAGGGAGGAATGGGGAGTGGTTGTGTCCCGGGTCCCGGGCTTCCTTTTCAGGTAATGGACTCGATAGAGGTGAAGGATGCACAACACTGTGGATAGACTTCATGGCACGAAATTGAACCCCCCAAAAGGAGTGTGTGGCCAACTACGCCACAACACAGCCAAGACAGCAACGCGACGCATCACGTAGAAGGTTCATCGGCTTGGCAACTGGAGTTGTATGAGAGCTGAATGCTGAGCACCAGGTCTGAGGACGGGCACGGTTTCCAGTGGGAGCCCTAACTCCATGTTGAGTCTCCATACAGAGGCAGCCTCCATTGAGCTCCTTCTGACCAGGGACCAAGATTATAAAGCGTTTGGCTCTCAGGCAGAGTGAGTTTGTTCCTATTCCGCTGGGCTTCCAGGAGGGACAATCTAACCATGAGGAACTTGCTGCTCCATGGGAGAAAGCGGAGGTTTTCCACCCCCATAACAATGGAGTCTTAGGAACCCGCAGAGCAGTTCTACCCTGTCCCACAGGGTCCCCTGAGTGGGCATCAACTGCACGGCAGAGAGCTTGAGTTCCTGGTTTTTCTAAAACAGAACCTTCATGAGAACACGTTCGCTCTGGTGCGGCCTGCTCCTCCCTCCCTCCCTCCCTCCCCCAAAAGGACTGGGGCTAATCTGGAAGCCCGTGTGGCCCGTTCCAGCTCTGAGATGGTGAGATCCCAGGTTCTCCAGTGGTCCCTGCCATTCAGTGAAGCGTTTTCCCTCTCCATTGATGTGTCGCCTGTTACAAATGTCCTGAATCTGGTAAGAACAAATTTTCTTGACAACCATCTGGGCCTAATTCAACAAAATCGAGGAGTGTGAACTCCACGGCTAGATTTGTTTGGTTTTTTTTTTACTATCAAGTGAGTCATGCCAACTCATTTGCAAGAGCCTCTGGATATGTTTGATAAAACAAGCACAAAAACAAAGCCCACGGTGATGACAGGGCTTGGGAAAGGCAGACCCAGGCCCCTCCGAGCTGCCCACATGAAGCTATTCACCACCTCATGGACTGATACTTGGCTCTGTGTGTCTGTGTCCGAGAAAGGAAGGTAGGATTTCAAGCCTACTATGCTACAAGCCAGTGACCACTGAGCCAGCAGCACAGGCACCAAGCAGGGCCCAAGGCATGCTTCCCAGAGCTCTGGTCCCGGGACCCCTGACCTTGAGCTCTGCCTTGGCCAGACCTTGAGGCTTTATCTGAAGTTCTCTCCCTTCCCTGGTACTGGTCATGGGCATGGAGATCCCAGTCACTGCATTTTGCAAGTCCAGTCCTACGTCGAGAGGCCCTGATAGCACAGTGGTGAAGCACGTGGTTGTTAACCGAAAGGTCTGCAGTTCAAACCCATCAAGCTCTCTGCAAGAGGAAGACACACCAATCTGTAAAGATTCAGCCTTGGTCACCCTGTGGGGCAGTTCTACCCATCCATAGAGAGTCACTAGGAGTCAGAATTGACTTGACAACTACAGGGGGCAGGGGAGGGTGGCGACATATCAAGTCAAGGGATCTGGTTCAAAACTCAAGGCAATTTGGCAAATTGATATCATAGTGTCCTTCTTGCCCTGGCAGAGAGGACTGAGGTGAACCAGACGTGGCCTGTGCCTTTGTGTTCATTGTCTGCTAGAGAACATAGAACTTACCAGTAAGCAGAGCGTAGGGCCCATCAGAAAGAGGTGTCTAAAAGGCTCCCTGGGATTTAGGGACTAGCTCCTGCCTGCTGGTGGGGCAGCGTATGCCTTGCCCATCTCTGCACAGGGCTTGGGAAAGGCTGATGGTTGTCAGACAGCCAAGAACACCGGGTGCTGCCTGCCAATCAGGACCCTGTGCTCCGGTTCAGGCAAGCTGCCCACTCTGGCTGTCTTAATTAAAGCCTAATTAAGCATTCTGCCTAGAAACCTCCTGTGGAACTGCCCGGTTCACAGCCAACGATTCAGAGAATCGGGTCAGCCATGAGGAAGTGGCAGCCCTTAGGCGAGGCGCCCCACACTGTGCCTGTCTGCCAATGCAAACCAGAGATCCCTGAAAACCGCAGGGCCAGAACACCAGAAACGAAGCCCTAATTAAGCCTTCTGCCCTCTGACCCTGACCTCAGGAGAGAACAGTGTCCACTTTGCGTCACCCCACTTTAAAAGGACGTCGAGATGGCCATGGCTGAGAGTGCTGCCTAAGGATAGAATTCAGAAGAGGGATGCTCACTGAGACAGGAACCCTGAAGATGAAGCGCGAAGCAGCTGACAGAAGTGCTCCTCTTACGGCAGACAACGTTCAAGAAAACCCATGTGCTTTCATGAACGCCACAGGTACGGCTGTGCCTGTCCTCGGGGAGCACGCTTGCAACAGTGTGCCTGGGGCAGTCAGGCAAGGAACCCTATGTCACCCCTTTGACCAGAGGAAGCTGGGTGTGGCAGCTACATCATCTACTGTCAACTCAAGGAAGGGGTGCAGTCTAGCCTGTCAATCAGGTCATAGCCTGTGGTATGAGGTGGGGTGAGCCAGCCCCCCACCACTAATCACGGGTTCAGTAAGCACAATTGTACGGTTGAGATATATAAATACTATATTAAAGTCATCAAGAGCATGAGTGATATTAGAGAGTCAAACAATGGAGTCAGACACATTTCATAGTAGCACTGCTCACCTCAGGCCCGCTTGGTGGTTCACGTGGAGAGAGGGGGAAGGGAAGGAGGATAAAGGGAAAGGGAACAAGGGAGGAGAGGGAGCTGATGAGAGGTCAAGGGAGGAGCCGAGAAAGAGTGGGTGAGAGCTCTCTATTGGTAACCCAGGCCTAATATACCTTTGGGGGTGTGCAAGCCCACTCATTACAGGTAAAAACATACGTCACAGGAAGGGGTTGCACTATAGGTTATACAGCAATGAGAGGGGGTGGTCTAGGGACATACATGCAATAGGTAGAGGAGGGATTGGGGATATACATGTGACAAGATGGGCGGATCCTAAATTTAGGATAGCAGCTTAACTTTGACCTGCTCTCTGGATCTCCATAGGAACCATTATCAGTAGGGTGTAAACCCCACCTACAGGAACCAAATTGCTGACTGCAGACCTGTCCATGGTCCTTAACAGCAGGGAGTGGGGCCTACCATAGTCTGGTAACTGACTGTCTTCAGGGAAGATGTCTGTAAGCATCTGACCTCCCCCCACAATAGCCAATGAAGCTTCTGTGTGGTTAAGGCTTTGTCCTGAGGATTCTGAGAATTCCTGTTTTCCTCCCTGGAGGCAGGACACACACTCTCTCTGTGAGACATTCCTGTTGGAGCCAGAGCCAGAGGCCTGGAGTTGGAGGAGACACGTGGAGACCCACGCCAGCCCTGAGATGCTTCCACTGCCACTGGATCCACAAGACTTTCCACCCACTGACCTGTGATCTTCCAGCATTTGGCATTCATTACATGTGTTGTGTGAGTCTGAAGAGGAATTTATAGACAAGGATCAGACATATGGGCTAATATCAGACTTAAGGACTTGATCTGGACTAGGCTGGGATGTTTTCTTAACATTCACTTACTCTTTGATATAAAGCTCTTTCTCATACACATATGAGTGTCTCTGGATTTGTTTCTCTCGTCCACCCAGATGAACACACTGGGTTCTGGTGGTCCATTCTTTTCATTTCCATTTGAGTCCCCACTGTTCTTGTGTAGCAATTCTCCCTCCTGTAAAGGATAGGGCGAGACCATCTCAGAAGAGAGTCAACGTTTTGAGGGTTGAAGCCGAGGTGCCCTGGGGAGTGGCAACGTGGCAGGCAAAGACACACCAGCCTGAGCTTCAGCAGGGGCGGAACTTATTTTGACCTTGCCACTGTCCTTGTGTGACCAAGTCCTTCCTCCTTCCTGAACCTCCATTTCCACCTCTAGATCTGGAAGAGATGCTCACGTCCCTGCCAGCTGCGATGATCCCATGATGCTGACTAGTGATGAGGTCACAAGTCTAAGGTTCTCTCCTGTGACAGACAGTCACCAGTCTGCACCACGTACACCTGTGACTGGATGGCACGCCCATCATTTAATGAACCACCACCTGACTTCTCTGATCCAGAGCCCAGGCCTGCATCGGAGAGTCTTCGCACCTCCCCCTCAAATCCAGCCACTCTCCCTGCGAATGAGCCCTCTTCTATCTCTCTCAAGTCTCCACTTCTTTCTGACCCCACTGCCATCTCACACGTCTGGGCTAGCGTGGCCCCTTCCTGCGGCAGCTGGTCTCCCTTCCTTCAGTCTTGCTCACCCCAGTCCATGTGCCTGGCCACAGAGATGGTTCAGAGAGATTTTTCTAAGATGCAAACCAGATTACATCACTCCCTTGCATAGAACTCTAGGACACAGAGGGTGTTATTCTGGACTGATAGAAAGTGTTGGAACTACTGAGAGATGGTAGTTGTACCATAGTGTGACGGTACTTAAGGGGCACTGACCTCTACGCTTTAAAGAGATTACTTGTATGTTATATAAAATGTACCTCCATTTTGAAAGTTTTTAAAAAATAGCTTCGTGGTATCACCTATACCTTCCAGGGTCCTTACTGTGAACTCTGGAGTCAGACCTCCTTGGATCATAACCCAATTGTTCCATGTATTAATTAGACCGTGGGACTGTGAGTAGGCTACTTAAGAGTTGGCCTCTGCTTCCCCTGCGGTCAAATACTCATAACAACAGTGCCTGCTGCAGAAGGCCATTATGAGGATCGAGGAGCCAATGCACGTCAAAGTCTTAGAACAGAGCTGGCAT